CCCCCGCTCTTCACCTTGGCTTATTTCTACCAAAAGAGGCTTCTCAGAACATTTCAACCTTGAAATTTGATCTTTACTTTAAAATTCAAAGTACCTTCCTGCACAAGACATACTTAGAGGCCTCCAGTGAAAAAGAAACAATATAAGGCAGGTGTTTGCTGGTTGGAAGAGCCCTGATTTTTTCTGAAGCACTAGAATTGTGGGCTGGTGCTTAGTTTCAAGGCTGGCCGTCCATTGGGGGTAACGGTGCCTGTCAGTTATAGGATAACGGTTCCTTACGTTTTTGGATCATAGACCCTTCTGAGGATGTATTGAATGCTATAAATTCCCACTTTCCTCCAGGGATTAAAAAAGAGACATTGGCAGCATTCTGCATACAGTTTCAAGGGGTCCGTGGAGCCTTGGAGGCTGACCAGATTAAGGACCCCAGGCATTTATTAATCTTTCTGAGGTTTGCCCGGCTTTATAATTCTGAGCGAGGTCTTCCCAGGGCTCACGTTCTAGAATGTCCCTTTTGCTTGCTCTCTTTTCCCTTATTCCATGGGTTCCAAATAGTTCTTTCCCCCTATATGTATTCCCCTCTTCTTGAATTGGCCTGGTGACTTGGGCTGACCCATGAAATGCGGTGGAAGGATGATGAACCACTTCTTAAGAGGCCTTGAAGCCCTGGCCGGCGTGGCTCAGTTGGTTGGGCATCAGGCCATGCATCAAAAAGTTGAAGGTTTGATTCCCAGTCAGGGCACATGCCTGGGTTTTGGGCTCGATCCCCTGTAGGGGGCATGCAGGGGGCAGTAGATTGATGTTCGCTTTCACATCGGTGTTTTTCTATCCCTCTCCATCTCCCTCCTCTCTCTCTAAAATATATATATATATTTTAAGCTTTTTCTTTTTTAAAAATATATCTTTATTGATCTCAGAGAGAGGAAAGGAGAGGGAGAGAGAGAGATAGAAACATCAATGATGAGAGTCACTGATCAGCTAACCTGCAACCTGGGCATGTGCCCTGTCTGGGAATCAAACCCTGATCGCCTGGATCCTAGGTTGATGCTCAACCGTTGAGCCATATCCGGCCAGGCTCTAAAATATATTTTTAAAAAGGCCTGGCAGCTTTGGCTTCCATCAGCTGGTGCCAGGTGCCACATAGAGGAGCCTGAGCTAGCCCACAAATGGGTGAGGGCAGGTGGAGAGAGAGGCCCAGCGACCTCCAAGGTTCCAATAGCTCGGATGAGATGCCGGCCTGTGAGGGGAGCCTCCTCCCTCCTCCAGACCAGCCACATCACCCCAGGCCACAGCTAGCGGAGAGAGACAGGCTGTCCCTGCCAGGTTACAGGACTGTGAGCAAATAAATGTTTGTTCTTTTTTAAGCCGCTAAGTTTTGGAGTAGTTTGTTAAGTGGCAATAGAGGACTGAAACAAGCATGAACTCTTGTCAGTCAGAATGCCGAGTTTAAATCCTAAACAGCATTCAAGATGTGGAAGTCATCTGAGACTCCCAGTCCTGACCCTGAAAAGCCCATTTTAATGGTCCGTGAAGCAGCTAAGGGATTAAACGGTCACATTACCGAGTCTGCCGGAACAGTGTGCACCTGCCTGCTGAAGGGCAGGGTGGGGAGGGCTGGCTTTTCCACTCACTACTCAGACTGTGGCGCATGGTAAGGAAATGTGGGTGCAGGGGCTGACTGGCCACGCGGCCCTAGGAAGCTTTGATTTCTGCGACATCCTTTTGGGGCAAGTAAAGCTATTGCACGAGCCCCTAAAAAAAAGTATACATATGGCCCAGTCAGCGTGGCTCAGCGGTTGAGCGTCAACCTAGGATCCAGGAGATNATATGTATTCCCCTCTTCTTGAATTGGCCTGGTGACTTGGGCTGACCCATGAAATGCGGTGGAAGGATGATGAACCACTTCTTAAGAGGCCTTGAAGCCCTGGCCGGCGTGGCTCAGTTGGTTGGGCATCAGGCCATGCATCAAAAAGTTGAAGGTTTGATTCCCAGTCAGGGCACATGCCTGGGTTTTGGGCTCGATCCCCTGTAGGGGGCATGCAGGGGGCAGTAGATTGATGTTCGCTTTCACATCGGTGTTTTTCTATCCCTCTCCATCTCCCTCCTCTCTCTCTAAAATATATATATATATTTTAAGCTTTTTCTTTTTTAAAAATATATCTTTATTGATCTCAGAGAGAGGAAAGGAGAGGGAGAGAGAGAGATAGAAACATCAATGATGAGAGTCACTGATCAGCTAACCTGCAACCTGGGCATGTGCCCTGTCTGGGAATCAAACCCTGATCGCCTGGATCCTAGGTTGATGCTCAACCGTTGAGCCATATCCGGCCAGGCTCTAAAATATATTTTTAAAAAGGCCTGGCAGCTTTGGCTTCCATCAGCTGGTGCCAGGTGCCACATAGAGGAGCCTGAGCTAGCCCACAAATGGGTGAGGGCAGGTGGAGAGAGAGGCCCAGCGACCTCCAAGGTTCCAATAGCTCGGATGAGATGCCGGCCTGTGAGGGGAGCCTCCTCCCTCCTCCAGACCAGCCACATCACCCCAGGCCACAGCTAGCGGAGAGAGACAGGCTGTCCCTGCCAGGTTACAGGACTGTGAGCAAATAAATGTTTGTTCTTTTTTAAGCCGCTAAGTTTTGGAGTAGTTTGTTAAGTGGCAATAGAGGACTGAAACAAGCATGAACTCTTGTCAGTCAGAATGCCGAGTTTAAATCCTAAACAGCATTCAAGATGTGGAAGTCATCTGAGACTCCCAGTCCTGACCCTGAAAAGCCCATTTTAATGGTCCGTGAAGCAGCTAAGGGATTAAACGGTCACATTACCGAGTCTGCCGGAACAGTGTGCACCTGCCTGCTGAAGGGCAGGGTGGGGAGGGCTGGCTTTTCCACTCACTACTCAGACTGTGGCGCATGGTAAGGAAATGTGGGTGCAGGGGCTGACTGGCCACGCGGCCCTAGGAAGCTTTGATTTCTGCGACATCCTTTTGGGGCAAGTAAAGCTATTGCACGAGCCCCTAAAAAAAAGTATACATATGGCCCAGTCAGCGTGGCTCAGCGGTTGAGCGTCAACCTAGGATCCAGGAGATTGTGGTTTGATTCCCAGTCAGGGCACAGGCCCAGGTCGCGGGCTTGATCCCCAGCAGGGGGCTTGCAGGAGGCAGCCGATCAATGACTCTCATCATTGATGTTTCTCTCTCTCTCTCCTCCCTCCTCTCTCTGGAATCAATAAAAATATATTTTTAAAAAGTATGTATATACACACACATGCGCACACACAAATGTACACACACACACACATTTTCTTTGTACGAGTAAAAGTAAATCCTGCCTCCATAAAGGCTACCTGTCTCCTGGGCTCCAAATTCCCTTTGAAACAGGAATAAAATCTGTATATTGTGTCCAAGTAAACCCCGAAGTTACTATAGAAGTCGGCCCTTGTGGTGATGGGTCTGTGAAAACGTATAGTGCTGAGCAAACCGCTCTCTCCTGGTCTAAGTTTTCTGTCAACCACACTGTGTCCTTGAGGAGGTGCTTGGTTATGAAGGAGTTTTGTGGGAGAGCGTCGTGGATGTGGCTTTCGTGGCTACTGCCTTCTTATTCCAAGTGCTGAGGCAACTGATCACTAAAGTGTTGAAAAACAGCATGAATGCATACACGTGTATTTATATACGTAAAATGATATGTAATAACCCTTTGTATTGATTCATATATATAACTTTAAATGTATGTATTTAAGTATATGCTTATAATTATATCTACCTATATAGTCATAATTATATACTTATATATTTATATGTAATATATACCTATACATTATCATAAAGTATACATATGCTTCATATATGTGCATATTTAAAAAATGGAACTTTCAATGGGGAAAAAGAAGGAGGGATATCTGTAATACTTTCAACAATAGAAATAAAAAAATAAATTTTATGAATTTCAAAAAAAAGAACTTTACTGGGTACTGATTAAATGTGACTTGCTTGCCTGCTGTTTGGCTCATGCTGAACAAATAATTTTTAAACAAAAGTTTAGAAATCAGTGTCATTATTTAATAATCAGCCCTGTCAAGGTCGCCTTTCTGAGCCCTGAAATGTGCAGTCAGGCCTTGCCCGGGCCAGTCAATACTTTCACGAACACCTGTGAAGAGCACGGAGGTGCTGATGGAGGCCGTCTTGTGTGCGGATCCTGCTCTATTGGACTCAGGAGCTAGAAGGCCCAGCAGCCATCTGCCACTTACAGGGCGGTCATTCATCACCAGGTACTGAGCTCAGCGCTTTTCTTGCCTCACCTGCCTTAATCCTCACAGGAGAACTACCAATAGGTACTGCTCCATTTCACAGATGTCTAAGTTGACTCTCAGAGGTGCTGGCTCCAAGTGCCCAGCCAGAAGGTGGCTGAGCCAGGTCTGACACCAAAGCTCAACTGCTAAACCACCTCGCTACCCTCCCACATGGTGATAAGCTTGTCTCTGCCATAAAACTGCTTACTAATGGCTGGAAGACAAATGCATGTGAACTGGCCTGAGCAAGGGAAAGACACGGAATGCTTCCTTATCTTTAATTTTGGCCTCTAAGTGGGCAGACGAATGTTGTGGGCTCTCTAGAGGAACATATGGGAAGAAACATTTCATTGCTAA